TGTTTTAAGGTCTCAAAACCCATCTTATACACCGGCAAATACGGTAGTGACAAATATTCACTATGGCCTGTGAATGTGTGTCACCCATTTCACAGAACCTGCTGGCTGACCTACAGAGGTTTTGAAGAGGAGCAGTTTCAGGAGGCACATTCAGTACAGGAAACACACCACATGTGACATCGTCACTGCTTCCACGCAGCAAGGTACCATGGGATCCGTAGTCCTTAGAAATCGAAAGTCACCTAAAGGAATGAGCAGAAGAAAAACCACAAAGCTTGCAGGGAATCCAGGAGCTTGTTGAAAAATAGGCAGTACTCACAACATGAGATTTTGTGAGTACAAGTAAGATTCTATTGGAATGTGAAGAATAACTATTGTTTATACTGCTATAACAATGCTGGTGTTATAAAATGAAAAAGTATACTTGGGGGAGGAACAGGGCCAGATTAACATAGAGGTGGGCGGGTGGAGCTCCCGCAAATAGGCCCTGCTGACCCAAGCCGACAGCGAGTCACGGCCGAGCCGAGCTGTCCCTAGATAGAGGCTGGGACGCGCTGTCCCAGATCACGGCCTGGCGAGCTCACCATGCAACTGAGGCCCTCTATTCAGGCATATTAGAGGGCCCTCTGATGTCCCTGAGCAGAGAGCCGCGGGCGCAGTTATCAGTCTTTCTCAGCCCCCCGAAACACGCACTGACCGCCTGAGAGCCCTCACTGGCCTCCTGGATCCCGCACTGGCTCTCATAGAGCCGCACTAGCCACCTAAGAACCTGAACAGCCCCCTTAACCCTGCATAGCTCTCCTGAGATGCTGGAGACATCAGGCTGCGAACCTGGAGCAACACAGAGTATGTAGCTTTATATTATTCTGCATTGCTGTATACGGTATTGCTGGGATTTGCAGTCCTCCTATAGTGATCTGAATTTCTGTGTAATGTATTACTGGGGTTTGTAGTCCTCTATAGTTGGCAGTATTCTGCATTGCTGTATAATGTATTGCTAAGATCTATAGTCCCTCTACAGCAGCGGTTCTCAACGTGGGGGTCGAATGACTATCTGCCGGGGGTCGCCTCGCGGCCCCGGGAAAGGTCTGCTCCGCTGGGTTTTTTTGTTTTTTTTTCTGACATCGGAGCATCGTAACTCAGACGTCGTAAATCGGAGAGAAAAAAAAAACTTTCTCCCCGAGCAGGTTCGCTATGCTCGATCGAGCATAGCAAACCTTTCCCTGCTTTTTTTTTTTTCTGACATCAGGCCGCAGGCCGTAATCAGTGAGAGAAAAAAAAAATAAACCCATAGGATCACACAGCTAGATTCCTATTGGCTATTGCACTTTGCAATAGCCAATAGCAAACTAGCTATTGAGCCCGCCCTCTGCTGCTGCCAATTAGCAGAGAGGGACCTGAAATGATAGTTCTAATGATAGCATTTCTATGGTGGTTTATTTTTCTATTCTGACGGCGTACATATCTGCTCAGGTAGGCCTGCACTCTCTAACCCCCCCCACATGGTGCTGCTTTAATGTATTGCTGGGGAAGTGGGATGTGTAGTCCTCTCTAGCTGCTAGTACATTGTGCTGTACCATCAGCTATAGAGGACTACAAATCCCAGCAATACATTATGCACTGTACATTTGTTGTATTCCTCTGTATCTGGCTTTATTCTGCGTTGCGCCGTATAATCATTATACAGCACACTGCAGAATACCAGCAGCTTTAGAGGACTACAAATCCCAGCAATACATTATGCACTGTACATTTGTTGTATTCCTCTGTAGCTGACGTTATTTTGCGTTGCGCCATATAATCATTATACAGCACACTGCAGAATACCAGCAGCTATATAGGACTACACATCCCAGCAATAATAAATTATAAGGCGCAATGGAGAATAACACCAGCTACAGAGGACTACAAATCCCAGCAATAGAACAGCTGTTGGTATTCTGCATTGCACCGCTGTATAATGTATTGTATTGCACACCACACTTTTTTTTACTTCCACCACTCTAAACTTGCTCTCGTGATGGACTACAATCTCAATGCAAACTAGTAGTCCATAACTGGAGCCTTTTTTTTTTTTTTTATCTGATTAATCGAACTTAATAATCAGCTAAATCGATTTTGAAAATAATCATTAGCTTATACCAAATAAAATACCACCAAATAATTAGTATTTCTGTTTATCCAGTCCTAAGGTTTATGCAGCTCTGCCACACAGCATAAACAAGCATTTTACAGTCCACACTATTTATTAGTGGGCCCATGATAATGGACAGGGCTCGAAAATCCACTCGTCTGCTCGTCTGTGACGAGCAGCTTCCCGGGCCGGCCGTTGTAATTACACGGCCGGCCGGGAGCTTTACAGTCAAGCGATAGAGCGTCTCGAGAGACGCTCGATCGCTTGTATCAGAAGCTGTCACTGCCGTTGCCGGTCCCGAGATCCGCTGTGCCCGATGCGGCCGGGACCGGCACGGCTCTGTGACAGGAGATCAAAGGGAGTTCAGTACACGAACTCCCTTTTGATCTCCTCTCAGTCCCCGAATGCAGGAAGTGATGTATTGCGCGTGATGTATTTGACACAGTTGGTTCATTTCTGGAAAAGCATGAGATCTCTTGGGAAAAGGTTTGTGGTGTTTGCACAGATGGTGCTCCAGCTATGGTAGGATGTCGATCTGGATTTCAACGTTTGGTATTGAATGAGTCAGAACAAACCATCTGAACTCACTGTATGATTCATCGACAAATGTTAGCAACGAAGACGCTGCCACAAGAGTTACAAGAAGTAATGAAAAGCGTTGTAAGTGCCGTCAATTTTGTAAAATCGAGTTCTTTAAACAGTCGACTGTTCTCGAAACTTTGTAATGAGTTGGATGCGTCCAATAATGTCTCCTTTAAGCAGTGGTTCTCAAACTGTGGGTCGCTGTGTGTCCTCCTCAGCCCTCTCATAGCGCAGCAGTGTCAGTTCTCCTGCGACGCCGCCAGATGTCGCTGCAGCAGCCACGTCATCCCTAAATTTTACCATTGGGGGTCACCACAACTTGGCAAATGTTACCAAGGGGTCCCGGCCCTAGAAAGGTTGAGAACCGCTGCTCTACAGCTTGAAGTCAGTGGCAGATCTACCATCGTCGCAGCTGCAAATGAGCCCTGGCGCTCCACCACTGACTCCAAGCTGTAGAGAGGCTACAAATCACAGCCTGGCCAGGAGGAAGAGTGCCCCGGTGACCATCGCTATTTCCACAAAAAGGCCCACCAAAATCCTCAGCACTAGGCCCATGATGCTCTTAATCCAGCACTGGGGATGAAGGGGGATACATTGAGAATGCAAATCAAAAGAGCCTAGTGGTGACCCTACAGCTTTGGGCCTAGGTGGAGAGTTAAAGGGCTCTGTTAGCACTGACCAGGTACTGTGTAAAAGCCAGTGTAACTGGTTATTGGGGTATGTGTGGGGTCAGGGAGCCAGAAGGGAACGGTGGGAGGAGTTACCACCTTGATAGAAATCCATCCGCATCCTTACCTTTAACACCAATAGGAAGGTGCACAGCCTATGGTGATGTCATGAAAATCCACGAAAACAAATGGCTAGCACAGCTAAAGTTGCAGGCCTTGTAATTTACTAAGGTTTAAATTGCAATAACACCATTGTGCAGAAACAAAAGAATAGGAGTCTAGGGATTTCCTTGTGATGAATCCAGTCACCCTTCCTGCATTGCCAAACATATATGCGCCTTCGGCAGGTTGATCTCCGAAATCCAAATCAACCTGCCGGCCTGTAAACTCATCTGAGGACAAAAGCGTTAAAAACAAATTCTGATCTTTCGCACTCTACCCAAAATTAAGAGAGAGAAAAAAAGAAAAGAACATTTGGGTCTTTAGCTGCAATCTAAAGGACAGCAGTTATTTTCTACAGTTGTCCTCTAATCAATTCTCACTGACCCGGAAGTGCTGCCCACCTAGACAAATATCTTCTTCCTCGATTGAGGAAGAATCGAGGAAGTATTCATGCCACACCCCTATTCATTCTTATGGGCAAGCTGTATACAGATTCTTATGGGTAAGCCATACTCATGGTGGCCTACTAATTCAGCAGAGTATGCCTTACCTATAGGAGTGGACAGAGTTGTAGCATGCATGTGCCCAAAGAGGAGGTTTTTGCTGGAAAGGTAGAGCATTGGGCAAAGACTGCCAGATGGAGAAGGGTGAGTATTTTTCCAGGTAGGCAGTACAATTCTACTTTTAAGTAAAAAAGGAACTTGTTCTAAAGGTATTTGGAGGTCTTTCCACCACTATGTCAGCTATTTATCTAGAAATGTTAAGATTATGAGATTTTGGTTGCGCTATTGTGTGAATTGCCACTACTCCCCCATAGTTGTCTTTTTGGGTTTTGGAACATTGACCTTCTACACAGGCTATAGAACAGGGCTAGGCAGACTCCAGCCCTTCAGCTGTGGTGCAACTACATTAGGCATTGCAACACTGAGACACTTACAGGCATGACTCCCAAAGGCTGGTGCATAAAGGGATTTGTAGCTTCACCACAGATGGAGGGGGGGGGGGGGGGGTTGGCC